TTGCGTCCTGCCTGTCGCCCTCACCCATCATCTCCTCATCATGCTCAAGGGCTTCGGGGTCGGGCTCTGGTGACGTTTCGCGATCGGAGCCGTCTGCTGATCCTGGCTCAGGAGTTGGTTCGGCATCCATAGCGGCCTCGACTTCGGCATCCGCCTCAGCTTGAGCCTGCTGCAAGGTGTCCACATTAACCTCAGGCATGTGGATGACGACGGTTGCGGTTGGGGTGATGTACTCCTTGCGCCCAATACAGTCAAAGATCGCGAGGCAGTGGTGACAGATGGCCAACTTGGTAGGAGTTTCGTGCATGCATTGTGGACACACCCGTAGCTTGAGTGGCTCCCGTTGGGATGCCGAGTTGTATGTGTTCGAGTAGTGTCTGCTGCACATCGCCGCACACCTGCGCTTGAGGTTGAATGATGTGTCCCCTGCGTCCAACTCGGCAACGAGCTGATCGCGCTCTGAAGCATGCGGGCCTGGATTTAGGCTGAGTAGGATCTCCTTCACTTTTGCAGGCGTGGCGTCCAAGTACGCCCCGTTGGGGTCGTACGTGCCATTGACATTCTCCACGATCTCATTGTCCAGGGAATCACTGAGGATCTTCCGGACTTCGCGGAATCGCCATGCATGGTTGGGTTGTGGTACGGCAATCCATGCATCCCTCACCTGCTCAAAAGGAATCGGCCTCGACACCAGGTACACCCCATTGTCGGACAACGTTGCCCCGTAGCTTAGAAGCACATAGGATGGGACGTACAGGACAAGCAACGGCATTCGGGGGTCTCCGGGAATGCGGTACCTTGTAACGAGGTTGTGATGATCCCACGGTACCGCGTCCCGTGGGGACCGCCGGGGAGAATGCCGTCGTTGATGATGCCATAAATATTTCGAATTGACGTTGAATGAAATCCGCCCCCGAGGTCTTGCATCACTTGGAGCGTTGGATGGTAGGCAATTTTTGTCGGGTCAAGGCGGATGGCCGAGTAGCGGTCGACAGAATGTCCGCTTGTTCCCCGCACGGCCCAAGGACGTACCCACACGTCTTCGCCCACGTAAATGTTGGAGTCCTCATAGCTGGTGTCTCTGGAACTCTGGAGTTCTGCGATTTGGGTCTCCATACTCACAGGTTGGGACGATCCGGGTTCACCTGACACGAGGTGGGCAGCGAGGGGGCAGACCTTGATACCGAGGAATTGCAAACGAAACCTCTGGGTCCTTTGGTGACGAGACGGAAGGTCCTCAAAGCATTCGAAGCCCTCCCAACACCGTGATAAGAACGTTCCTCCACGACGAGGCATGACGCGCAGATCCCCGCCAAACACTCCCTTGGCTGCATGAAAATATTCGGAGACATTCTCATATTCCTGCGGGAGCGGATCACCACGTCGTGGATGAATCGCGACAGTCTCGCCAATAGTCCGTCGGACATAATGGCCAACTTCCTCATTGGAGGCCAGGCCCACGTCTCTGAGTTCCACTCCACGAACCGTGTCTTGTCCTTCACGAGCTCGCACCGACTCGGTGGCCATGCATGGTTGATCATAAATCAACTCGACAACATGAATGGTAGTTGCAGCCCGGTTCCACCGCGACGTTGACGGCCTCGCCTTGGCTTTGGGTCGCATGGTGGGTACCGGCTCCACCGTAGGTGAGGGCACGGTTCCTTGCCCTTCAGTAGTGGAAGTGGTTGGACGGATACGAGGTAGAGGAGGTCGTCGATCACGAGAGAGGGTCTCATCGTTCTCCACTGTTTCACGGGTTGAACTCGTCGGAACTGGACGACCATCGTCAGGTAGATGAGATCCTGGCACCCTGATTCCTTTTGGGGGCCCGTGAATCCTTTCATTTCCTTCATGAACTTGATCAACCTCC